GTCAAATGATAATATGATGCTTCCATGCTGGGATAAACCTTAGATTTCATCCTTAAATTTAGACGATATCAGATCACACAATCTATTCTTGTTAATTAATTCATTTAATATATTACAACCTGCTGTTAGAGATAAGTAAGTTTTATGACTGAGAATGAAACTTTTATCTGTTACCGTGGTAATTGGACTATTGACGATAGATAAAAGTAAATTAAAGCAGACACGTGAATCATTCAAATTTGTATTAGAGCACTACTTCGGAGATCTGTATTGAGTGAAATTTGTGCCAGGAAACCAACATGTGTGTTTGGAATGTAATATTAGGATTCAGATATCTGATTTTAAGAACTTATTTCAAATAATTAGTTAGAGAAATGAATAATTGAAAGTGACATAAAAATATGATTCTGTGAACTTTTAGATATAAGATTTAATTCCTTATATATCTTTGTTATAAAACTATAAAACAAGTTTAAGCAGTGTACTATGTCATGTCTGGGTAATTACTACCCACAACCTTTTTCTTTCTGTTTTTTTTTCGAAATTTGTAGAAACTTCTTGAAATAAGGATTCTTTTAAAAATTAGTGGTGTGTTTTGAAAAAGCTTGAACTGCCAATTGATCAAATATTATTTGACTTGTTGTAGAATCAGAAAGGATCCCCGGAAAACCATATTATTATAAAAAATATAGCATTAAAATACTGAGTATATGAATCCCCAAAGATCTCCCGTCTCAAAACTTACCATCGTGTTACTTTAGAAATTCCGGAAAACAATGAAAAATAATGTGTAATGCATTTTAGAATGGAGAAATGAAGCCAGTATTATAAATTCCAAATAAAAAAGACAATATTCTACGCTTTCAATAATATTTTTTTCGACTAGTATCAAATATCGATGCATTGCAAGGTTGTCTACCTAAATGTCACAATGTTAGTGTCCTCAATTTTTCGATACTAATTTACTAGTATTGCCAGTGTCAGTTTCCTGACGAACGTCTGTTGCTTTCTCTGTGCATTCCGGTGTCTAGAATAATGTCTTATTTCGTAATATGCTCTTTGTAAGCCATTTTATGGAAATAAACGTCTTCTTCTCCTTCCATAACAAAGATTGCTGAAAGTGGCGTTAAACATCAACAATCAACCAATCAGTTTTCAAAGAATTTCGTTTAAGCGTGTGTCACAGCACAAGATAAATATACTTATATATTGTTCCAATTAATGATATCAGAAGTCCATTACTAGGGCTCGAGTAATGGACTTCTGATAATATTTATAAGTTTAACACGAGATTTTTTCATCATTTTACACAAAGTCTAATCGGTATAAAAGCATATAACGCTAAATCTGTTCTATAGGAAAAAAAAAAAAATGTATTGACTGAAAAGAATAGAAAAATTCCAAAAAAGTATATAATTCGCAAAAGTTTGAGCTCAAAACTTCATACTAGTCTTCTATTCATCTTTTTATAAATTCTAAATAAGTATAGAAAAAAAATAGAAAGAAAGTAAATTTACTATACATGCAATACCGTGAACTTTGATGTGAGTACAGTTAAACAATGGCTATATGGTAGTTCAACAATTGCTGGTGTCCGGGGAGGAAGAACGTTAAAATTCCTATTGCATTTATCCCATACCTCATTCTCTCCAATGCTTTTATATTTTTATTAGTTCTGGCTTTCTCAAACACAAATACATTGGTCAGTGAATATAAATATTATAAGTATTTTATTTAAAACAACGTTTTGACGGCTTTACAGTTGTATTTTCACAAACCATGTGTTGAAAAGCGCAGGATTGTCTAAAGTGTATTTGTTTATTTGGTCATAATTTTTTCTTCAGATATTTTTGTTTTCTATTGACGCGAATAAGTGTGTTTTTTTAATTTAATTTGGTAAGAATATACAGCAAATTATATATCAGCAGAAGTTGATAGTTAACGCTTCACAACAAATTCACCAAATACCAAAAAAAAAAACAGTTTTGCGTCTATTGTTACCAAGTTGATTACAATCAAACCAGAAATAGTCCCTCGTTATTTGTATGAAGAAAAAAAAACCGTATACATATATATGAAATATATATAGCAACAAATTGTAGGTGACGAATCCTTATGGCCATGTACTGTATATTTCACATCTTCTTTCATTCATGGAAAACAATACGTTTTCTTCACATTTCCCTTTTTTCTACACAGAACATACCCGTGTCTCCTTTTATTCCAAGAAAACGATGTGTTATGGAAAATATAGGTTATAGGTTTTGTTTATTTTCTCCGATTGTATACAATTTAGCATAGCAAATATAAGAGTTGGCCACAGTTGTCAACAGAATAAATTTCCAAAATACGCTTGCGACACAGGCACCTATCTACTAGTATATACCTTTAAATATTTAATATAAATATATACTAGAACACACCATCGAAATCGCGGGCATTTAGAACGTGGTTGAAAGTACGTTAACTGTTGGAGGATGAATTTTTTGTAAAAGATTTTATGACTGGATAATTTCAGGAAAGGTATCAAAAGTAATGGGTACTTGGAGACATGACATTTTTTTTAACCCTCCCCTGTTTTTCTTAAGTCTATGAACTATGAACATACATATATAAATAAAGTGTATTTGCTATTTACTATCAATTCCAAGTTTAGTATCATAGGCGATATAGTCATTATAGAGACTCTATATAATATATCAGTGACAGCCACGGATAATAAACTTGGAATTGATAGTAATAGCAAAGACACTTTATTTATAGAATATGTATGATCATAGTATACAGAAAAACGCGAAAATAATTGTCCTGGTCCCAAGTACTTTTGAAAATTATGTGTACTTTTAAAAGACAGTCCTAAACGGAAGTCTTGTCCATGACTAAAAGTCCGTCCGATGACGGAAACAATATTCGGACGCCTTTATTTTCGTTTTTCTCCCAAAATAACCCTTACTAAATAATCATTAGCGAGGATGACAAATGCTACTATGCATGGTACCTATAGGACACAGAGGCATATTGATTAATTTATCGTGGAAGGAAGAGAAGCGACACACAAAATGAGGACTTCTCATTTAATAGTATAAAATTTGTAAACATATTATTCAGAGACAAGTGCCTACGGCTTGCTGTAGGTAAACATTGATTCACTGATATCTACTTTATTTTTTAATAATAAAAAAAATCAATTTGTAAAAATCAGTCACATTCCTTATTTCTTTCAAGTTAAAATAAGATACTCAACAAAAAAATTTGCAAACAAAAACTTGTATATTCTGTGTTTGTAAATTCAAAAGTCAGAAGCTGGTCATTTTCTTATCAGTCATAAGACAACTCCTGCTGTGAAGACACATAAACAAGTGAATGTTGACAAAATGATATATCAATAAGTTGTTAATTGGGTAATGATCTTGCTATTTGACTAATGAAGCCTAGAAACTAGCCGTTGTGCTAAAACTTTTATACAATTTTACCCATGATGCTGGCAGATCTGCATAATACAAATTGATGAAGAATTTTAATCTAAATATATCAATACATTTATACATAATTTTTATATTTGATAATATAAAAGTAATGCATCTTAGGATGACTATCAATAGCAGGAACACTAAAAAAGTGTCGCGTCATAGCAGGCTATTTGGGATGTGTGGTTTATAGGCGTTTTATATTAAAGCTTAAAAAAGGGGCAGTACGAATTAATTAAAATGAGCGAAATAACATGACATCGTCAAACACACTGTTGAGAGAGATGCGATGGATGCCCATTTCATACTATTTTGTATTTATTTTATTATTTTAGTTCGAAAAGTACTTCACCAAATGACTCCGGAATATCTCAATGTATTTAGAACCGATGTATTTATAGATTATGTGTATCAGATTAGTTCTTTAGCTAAAGGAAAATTTCTTAAACATACTTTGTGTTCCAAAAACTAACACAGAATACTATACATGCACCTAAATTGTTGATAGATTTGGAAGTATTTTATTAAAGCAATTTGTCAACAAATTTTAAACAATGTAAGACATTTGAATCTTTAAAAAACATAAACTATTATATTGAAGAATAGTTTGTTTATTCTAATAGCAGTATATGATAGTTTAATATTTGTATTGGTATTTTTATTATTCAAGTTTATACTTTATGTTTGTAATATATATTTGTATATGGTGATGAGCTTATTATAAACTAGTATTTTATCCTGTTGAAATAAAAGGAAATTATTATTGGCGATATAAATAGACCCAGGGGAACTTTGTTCAGCAAACAGCAACCTATCAAGTATAACGAAGAATGATATTAAGGAGAAGACATGGAATAGTAATTACAGAAAGATTAATTCTCTAAGTACTGACTGAAGGGGGCGATGTGTGTGTTGTTTTATTTCGTCTTAGGACATCTCAAATTTTAGGTTTATCCCAAGACCATCCTAAGACACCTATTGATATATCCAAACTTTAGGAGCAAATTTGTAATATTTTATCTTAGGAGACTCTCGTTAAACTGACTTAGTACTAAGACGTGCCCTACGAACACCCTAAGACACGTCAAAGTCCTATGAAAGCTTCGTCAAAGTCCTATGAAAGCTTCGTTGACACGGCCCCAGTATCCCAATTTTCACGATCTATAGCTATAATATTTAGGGGTTTTCGTGGTTTATTTTTTTAATGTATCAATCTATGACGATCCGTTTCTTATCGTATCCCGTTATCAATGCACATAATTGCATGGTCATTTGTGGACAAATGTTCTTCTATAACCTCACCTTTAACGTCTGGGTATGGAAGTACTCTACATGCCAATATAGTGCTTCCTTTGTCATGACAACTTCTGGGCACGGAAGTTCAGAATTAACTAACAGTTATTTACCTTGTTTATGCAACCTTGTCAAGATGATCATGTATATATATAAAAACACACACCCTAAATAATATTACCTGGGTATAGAAAGTCTGTCCTTCATTTATAGATAGCCAGTTTAATAGTCTAGATCCTTGTATTTCTTAAAAAAAGTTGTATTGTAGTTATAAATCGTGATGGATTATTCATCTTTACTATCTAGTGATGATGAACTTGATATGATCGAAAATGTGTCTATTGAAGATGAAAGCCTTCATCTACGATACTATTCATCTGGTGAAGATGAAAACAGCAGCAAAAGACAAAGAGTGGAAACAACAACCAGTGATAATATGACAGGAGCATGTGGCGGACCAGAGGATATGCCCGATGAGTCCATGTCATCGGTAAATGACAGTGTTTTGGAATGCAGTAGAGTATCAGTCAGTCGTTCTAGTACTCCGTCCGTTCGAATGAATTCTCGTACCTCAACCAATTTGGCAAGTACACCATGTTCCAGCAGGACAATCATTCCGACTTTCCTAAGAACACCTTTATCTGGAGAAGTTCGTTCTAGCAGGTCACCTACACCTGTCACAGACATATCAAGAAAAGATCAGACTACAGGATCAGAAAACAAGGTAATTAAAAACTTTAAATATCGATGAAAATTCCCACAATGAAGTGTTTACTGATTGTAATATGTTATGGTTTAATTATGTCTATCTGTCTGCTAACAACGGACACGATTTTGTCAAAGATACTTGGGGACAGGACCCTTTTTTTTTAGCCCGCCCATTTTTTCCTGAAATTTGTTTAAAAAAAATCTGTTAACTTCAATTATTTTCGCATTTTTTAGTGTGTTATATCAAGGAGTTTATATGAGACATAAAAATACTAGAAATATCTATCAATTCCAAGTTTACTATCCACAGAAGTCACTGATAATAGGATAGTATACATGCATATCAGTGACAGAGTTGATAGTAAACTTGGAATGATAGAAAATTGCAAATACAAGTTATTTCTAGTATATTTATTTTCGTATAAAACAGAAAAACGCAAGAAAGATAAATGAAATTATAAGAAAACAAAAACAATAACAAATTACAGGAACAAAAGGGGGAGGGCTAAAACAAAAGTACCCTGCCCTAATTTCCAACGATTTTTATTAGAACAGTGTAAGACACGTGACCATCATAACACACATTGAAAAAAATATCTTTAAATTCAAGATTTTTTTGTGGGTAACAAACTTTTTCCTTTAAAGGTTCAAATATGGTTTTTTTCACACCTACTTCAAAATTTCACATTTCCGGGACAAATGTTCTTTCGTGTATCTTTTGTTTTAAAAATACGCTATTTTTAATGTCGTTTTCTTTAATTAACAGTGATGCCGCATTTACCATGAAAGCCCTTCATTACTAAAGCTGTATATTGGCCATTTTCAAAAGAATTTTCAGTACACCCATGCTAAATTTTTTTATTTCTAATGGAAAATGCAGTTGTAAGTGTTTAGATGAAAGTTTGTAGGACTTATGAGTAAGAACATTAATAATAAACACGATTTAGATCTATTTTGATAAGATCAAAATATATTTAAGTCCGATGTTTGCGTAATTTATGTGCGTACAGTGTCCGAGTAACACATTTCAAATGATTTTTTTCCTATTTTCTGATCTTCTTGATACATGTCAAAGGGACTTTTTTAGAACGTAAATAATAAATCTAACGAAAAATCGTAACGTCATTATTATTATATGTAACATTTTTTTATACAAACTATATTCAATCAGCGTACATGAAGTTCATGTCCATCCTGTAAACGTTACCACTACTTAAATCAGCCGTTAAAGTTTTCTCCCTATGAATATTGAACTAGTCAGTGTTGATTTCAAAAGCGCAAAGTAACCTAAACATTTAACACAGCACGTTTCTTGTATAACAATGTAGAGAAAAGAAATTTCGAAACATTTAGTGAAAAAAAAAAAGTGGGTACTTTTTGTCATGTCTAAGCTGTTACCAACATATTGATTAATTACACCAATATTATACTTGCAAAAAGTGCAATAACGTGTCGGAAACCAAAATCACAACATAAAAACATTATCACTTCATCAAAGGGAGTAGTTTTTTTCACAACAGCATTCAAAAATGAAGGCTGTTACTATGGTTGCTATGGTTACAGTAACAGGATAGACAATAGTAAACAGAAACGTCTTTAAAAAGTTTATAACAACATATAGTTGCACACTTAATGAAACGTTTCGTTGTTTGAACACATCTAAAGGTTATAGCGTCTTAATCTTCGCAATTTAGCATTTGCAGGTGCAATACTGCTATCGGTAACAGGATAGACAAAAAGGTAACAGGATAGGATATTTCATTAACGTACGTTCCTGTTACCAATAAAATAAAGACAAAAGTAAACCAACGTGCGAGGGATTTACTTGATGTTGGGTTTATTTGAAAGAGAGAACAAATGCTGAACATTATGAATTGCTATCTTAGACTTGCATTACTGGTGGTTATTTTTATAACCTTTGAAAACCAATTTTAGAGGCATTTTTCAGTACAACATAGAAAATTGGCAAATAATCTATTATTTCACAGAATGAATATAGTTAGAAGTTTTTCCTCTTGAAAACCATCTTATTGGCTACGAAAAATGTTTATTTAAGTTAAATTTAAAAATAGCCGAATCAAAATAAAACTTTCGTAATCGTATAAATTTGTATATCATATGTCATCTTTAGTTTGCAAATGTAACTAATATATGTTTGATGGCAGTTACCTCAGCTATCGGCTAGATGATGTGTCTATTAATTGTTTGCATAAAACGGCCAACAGAAAATCAAAGACGAATGTTTTGAAAATGAAATTGCACACAGCAAGACATCATTATTAACCAAATTGGATTTATTCGACGTACCCTAAAGATACATATCTTAACTGCCAACATAATTTTGTTTTTAGGTTAACGATGTTCCTTTATATTTTTTTCTCAAATTTTCATATCTTCAACGGTTTTAATCACTGCCTGATTTCTAAACCAACGGTGTGAAAAAATACAGGATGAAATGGTCATTAATACGTTTTGCGGCTAAATTCAAATTAACAATACTGATATTTGAAATCTGGACAAATCAAGTATATAGTGAATGAAAGTATATATTTATCTACTTTATTGATTTAAGATGGTGTGGCGCCATCCTGGTAATTGAATCTGCTCAGAAAATAATTCCACGAAGATAAAAAGAAACGAAATTTCTTTTTCAACTTGCCCTGTACGCTTAGAAATAGGTTATCAAAAAGAAGATGTGGTAGGATTGTCAATGAGATAACTCTCCACAAGAGACCAAAGGACACAGACATTAACAAACAGTCGAAGAATTCTTATAAAACTATATTGAAAAGCCCGACAGATAAATACACTATCAGATTTAAGAAAAAAAATGAAAGCATCTGTCGGACAATTGACAAATAGATATAATTTCTGAGAATCTCTTATATTATGATTCTATCGATTAATGAATAAATAAAAAAGCATTAAAGATTAAACATCTTAAAACAATTTATTTCTTTATTATCTTTGAAAAGTAAATGATAACTTATGCAGGGGCGGATCCAGCCATTTTTAAAAGGGGGGGGGGGGGGGGGGGGGGTGTCCCAACCCAGGATAAAGGGAGTCTTCCAACTGCATGTCCCCATTCAAATGCATTGACCGTAAAAAAGGGGGGTTCCAACCCCCGGAACTCCCTCCCTGGATCCGCCACTGGTATGTTTAGGTGTTAAATATCCTTATTCTTTTATGATCTAAATTTTGTCGGTTAGCTGTTCTTTTTTCCGTTTTAATAATTATGAACTTTCAATTTTTGGTTGATAAAAAATAAATGAAATTAATTAATGATTTTAGAAACAATGTTTTACCCCATCAAGAATGTCCTTTAATTTAAAAATACTAACCAAAAAAAAGGAGGCATATCATATAAATGAATAAATAAAAAGCAATAACGTACACTTCAATCCGATTTTTTTACCGTAGTTTTCTATTTTCAGTAAAACTACTTGTATTTCTTTGTTAACACGCTTCTTGGTCCTTTCTATCATCGTCTCTGATTATTATTGTACACACATGTTCATTATTTTCAAAATAAGATAAATATTTAAAAGAAAATAAAGACCAATCATTCGCACTATTACCATGTTGTCTAAATGAACTGTTGCAAAATCAATAGTTATACAATATCAATCCGTTAATTGGGTTTTCAATGCGTAGCTACATGTACATGTAGCTATAACTAAAGTTGTTTGGTCAATTTCAAACCAAAACGGAGGCAAAAGCCGCTAATCGGAAATATTTATTCGTATTCTTTATCTATGAATATTGTAAAATTAAAACTGCGGCAACAACTGAAAATGTTCTACAATTTTACCATATATTTCAATTAAAATATGTGATGTTTACTATAGAACCCTATGGATTTTTTTTTTTAATTTTCAAATGACTTTAACTTGAAAACAGTAAGTGATAGACACACGCATTCTCCAGTAATGATCACAGGACAATGAAACAAATATGGTGAGTCCCTGTGGGTCACCCCACCCCCTTCAATATCAGAATGTGCTTTTATCATGTAAACGGTCGAGATCCCCACCCATAAACCATATATATTCTTGTATGGGACAATAAAACAAACCAAATGAAATATTGGGGGAGTCCCCGGGGTCACCCCCAACCCCTTCTGTTTGAGAACTTGTGAACGGTCGAGATCCCCACCCCTAAACCATATATATTCTTGTATGGGACAATAAAACAAATCAAATGAAATAAAAGGCGCGTCCCCTGGGGTCACTCTCAGCCCCCCTCCTGTTTGAGAACAAGTAAACGGCCGAGATCCCCATCCCGAAACCATATGAATTTTATGTATGGGACAATTAAACAAATCAAATAAAATAAAAGGCGCGTCCCCTGGGGGTCACTACCTCCCCCTCCTGATTGAGATTTTGTAAACGGTCAAGATCCCCATCTTTTAACCATATATATTCTTGTATGGAACAAAAACCAAATCAAATGAAATAAAGGGCGAGTCTCCTGGGGATCACCCCCTTTTGAGAACTTGTTAACGGTCGAGATCCCCACCCCTGAACCATAGATATTCCTGTTCCTGTTGAAATAACTATACTTACTAAAATAGAATCTTCTGAATGAAACGGTAATTCAACTTGGATCTGTAACAGGTATCAACTCGGTTTTCTTCTTTCTGGTTTTCTGATTTCTTGAGGATCAATTTTGAAGCTGTGGTAGCACTTATATCTTTGTCCGAATCCGAATAATGAATGCTGTCATATATTCACGTCATTATATATACTGTATTATATAACATTCATAAGTGGTTATATGTTGAGAATCAATAGGAGCCTGTTTATAGAGGATGGGTATCGTGACTATATGGAATCAAGGAGGTTATATGAGAACCTTAAGTAACTTCCTTGATGGAATCAAAAGACTATCATTTTCAAGGACTGCACGGATTTGTCCTTTTATTCAGATTTTTGAACACGGATTATTTGTATACGACAGTTATACATAATTATATCTCTTTATCTCATGTAAATCATCTAGATTTCATTCTAGACAGGACAAAAAATGTTCAAACCAGTTATAATAATTTTTCAAATTTTACATAAATATAAAAATATACCAAAGAGAGGCAGAAAATACCAAAAGAATATTTCCATGGGAAATTAAAATTCAAACATTAATGAAAATGCTTGAAGTGTAATATCGCCCAAGTTATTTGTTACAATTATTCAATGTTGTTCAATTATAAAAGAGAGTAAACACCTGCGTATATATAAATGTTTATTCACACAATTAATCTTAAAACTGTTGATTAATTTAGATAAATAGATAATAATGTATATGTTATGCTTTTAATCTGTTATAAACACAACTTGTAAAAAGTCAGTGACTCTCATACATTTAGTGTTTTTTTTTAGGTACATACAGTATATATTCTGGATGACGTATCTATTTAGTTTTCTAAATGATAAACTTCATTGAGTTTTGTAATTCATGTTTTTCAAATGATTTAGTTATTTTTATTTCGTTTAGATTGACACTTTAACAAATGAAGTCATCCAAATGAAAAGACAACTGGTAAAAGTGCAAGAAAACCAAAGTAATGTTGAAAAGAAAGTGGATATTTTGATTCAATTGCTACACTCAAAAACAAATGAACCAAAAAAAGGAAGCCAAAAGATTAACGTCCCTGCACAAATTGCAGTAAGTAATTATTCATTGTGCGTGTAGGAGGGGATAGCTTATACAATCTTCATTTTTATGTAGTGCAACATAACAATATGCACTAAGTTTGCGAACTTAAAATTCAATGTCATTTATTTTTATTTGTTAACGGATTACAAAGCTAAGTGTTGACCATGATTGTTGTCGGCAAAAGATTTGCGGCAAAAGATTTGCATACATATTGAACACTTACAATTTGTGTATTAATTGTACAAAAACTGGGACATTTTCCAAACTTTGAATACATGTTGTCGTGTTTATTAGAACGTAATATTAATGAAGTCGTGAAGTTAACAATATATATATTACATTTTGTATAATTTGCGACTTTCTACACATATGCATTACTTCAGTTCTCAGATTTTTATTTGAGCATGCAATTTAAATTCATTTCAAATGCCTAAGAGCGTATCTTTTCCCTTTCAGCAATCAATAAGGGATGGTTACCAGCAGGGTATTACTGAAAAGGATTTCATCTGGAAAACAAAGAACGAAGCTGGCAGTATTCTTAAGTATGTATATGAAATTAAATGATTTTGAAATTTCGTTGGAAATTAAAAAAACGCATGGCTTATCTATATTCAATTAATTGATGTTATTTAATTCGTTATGTATGTCCACATTCATCATTAAACAATACGGTTTTCGGAAATATGTTCGATTACTTGTGATTTACGACATTGAAACAGATTTAATTTGGATCATACGACTACTTTTAATCTTTTATCATAATTCTAATTCGAGTATAAATCTGAACTTTTAAGTCATTTTAAGTGAAAAGTTTGCAAGAGATATAAGTGTATTTAGTAATCATATTTCTATTCAGATTCAAACAACATTTTAGCACACATTGATAATTTTACCGACATTTGTTACACTCTTGTTTAAGGAATGATCTCCTTTGGTCAGCTATGATTTACAGTAAGATTATTTTTCAAATTATTTTTTTCAGATATAATTCAGCAGAGAACAAAGAGATGTCCGGATTCATCATTGAATTCGTAAAAGGCCAATATCCTGACGAAGTGGAGGGTGTTGTTAGAGGTTTGTAGTACAAAAATTTAATAAGCAGACACTTTCAGTAATATTTTGAAACGCTATATAATTTCCATATTATAAATAAGTTTTATGTTAACGAATCACTTACTAGCAAATGCATAATATCATGTAACTTTAATAGATCCATTTTGATTTCGATCATATCACATCAAAACATTCTACCATGGACTACCAAATGACACGGTTTGGTCTCAATTCGAGAAAAGCAATTGCATGTTTAATTATTATTTTAAATTGCATTAAGTAGATGTTTTGTTTTGTAGAAGGAATAAAGACAAATTTTGAATCGTTCAAAGCAAAGAAACGAAGAGAAGAGACTGGTAAACAAGAAGAACATAACAAGAAAATGGCTGTGTACAGCAGAACGAGAAGAGTAAGAACTGTTTTCTTTTTTATTATGGTAAACAATTTGGAAAAAAAAACCTGTTTCTTGAATCTGTATTAGTTCCAAAAAAAAGCAGTGGTATAAAGATTTCTGATACCTCAGTTGTAATTTTCAGTAAACTACATACAGTCCATAAATTACAGAAGCGGATTTAGACAGGAGCTTTATTTGTTATTATATAGTTATATCACTCTAAAATAGGGACCCCTTTTAACTTAATTAATTCATTTTCTTTTTGCTTTTTGCTTTTTGCTGATTTCCTATTGTGACGCTACAATAAAATGGTGACTATTTCTAACGACGTCAGATATATGATCACATACTAGAACTTACATCATTTTGCAGATTAGTGAAAAAGAATGTCTACGTAACATCTAAAAATCAAAATAGAAAATACGGCGCTTTTTCACAAAAAAAAAACAACTTAAGATTGCTTTTTGCTGGACGTTAAGGTTTATAAAAATAATGATAATAATAATATCTATATTGAAAGAGAGTTATTACGGCATATATAGAATCTATCTGTATGTATTCAAAATGAAATTAAAGGAATTTTCATTTGAGCTTTATTTTATTTTGTTAGAAATTAAACAACAGAAAAAAGGCATTAAAAGAAAAATCCAGTATTCCAAAGGAACAAAAAGAAACAGTCATGCAAAGTATGGAGATGCAGTATATGTCTTCTGAACAAACAGATTCAGAAGACGAAGGATCGTTTATCGTCAGACCTCTGCCTTGGAGGTCTGACGATTTTGACAAATTAGTCAAAAAACTAGACCAAAAACATGATGGAAAACTAACCAAGAGAAGCAGACGGCAGCATAATAGGCGAAAGGTTGGGGCAGTTTCCTCAAGGAAAAAACCAGAAGTCGTGCCAGGACATGAATGGGTGTTTAGATAGTAAAAGTCATTGATTAAACTTTTCAGTCATCACGAAATCAAATAGATGCGAACAGAAAGACAAAAAATGCACCTTCATGTCGGATGTCAGCATACCGTCTTCAACAACAACAAGCGGTTCGTAGGAGGATGTTTTGATAAAAAATAGTAAATATTAAGTGCTTCTTGAAACAACAGTACTGTCGCAATAGGCAAAACTATCTACAAATAACAAGAACAATACACATGTCATTTGCAAAACAAAATTATTACCTTTTTGATTTGAAACCTAACATCACGGAAAATAAATGTAAACAATTATCATTTTATAGAATTGTCATGTCTAGATGGAAAACCTTGTTGTTTTTATTTAATATATAAGTGATACCGCGGAAACAAGCAGTGTATTTTATTTGCACACAGTAGTTAATTTTTTAAGACAAAATGGAAATTCTTCGAAATAGTAAGAAACTTCGTATATATCAAGTTTCAATATTTTAAATATTTCTTTTTTGCGTAATTATACAATATTAACATGAAAAAGCTATATAGCAGTAAATTGTATCTGGTATCCTGATGTAAGCAATCATACAATGCATGTATACAACAGCTGGTTTTACATTAAAAATCCTTGTCTTAGTGGTGAAACTCTTCATTGTGTATGTTGCTCATTTGTGTCCACGCGAGCATAATCAAATATATATTTTAAACACTAGGATCTAATTTATTATGTGATTTTTTTCACAATTGATTTAAAACAGTAAGCAATGAAAGGGAAACAACTCTTGTTAAAATAAGAATATTTTTCGTATCTTTAAAAAATTGAAGAAATTTTTAAAGTTTAATATGAAGGGAAATAAAGGTATGTTCAAAGAGCAGACATAGAATGTTGCTTTAATTCAAACCTTATTCAAACGTTACAAAAATAATATAAACGAATGTATTACACTTATTACAAGTTATGTCAGTTGAAAAGTGATTAGATGGATATTTTGAATATATAAATGTTTAAGAGAGAAAAAATAGCAATTACAAAAAATAAAAATAAAACAAAGAAGAGAATAAACAACATGAAAAAATCGAGGCTTTTTTCACTATGGGATAACGGGCGTTATAATGAAAAAAAAATATCTACGGTACAGCAGCGGGATATTCAGAAGGTTTTTGTTTTAACTTAAAGGTTTATACGTTCATAATTATTAAGATTATTATAAAAAATAAGTACGAAGATCTTGATTTTTTTTTACTTTTATAAGAAGGGGGTTGCATATAATTAGGTTCGCGTGTTAAACCCTCCAAATTACGTTGGATTTCATTATTCAGCTCGAACTTTTGTATTCAAAGGGAAATAAATCTTTCTATTAAAACAGTTGTTAGTTGCAATTAGAATCAATTAGGTCATACAATGGAAACAACCACAACAAAAGGATTCTTCAAATATCGTAATGTTTATTATATTTAAATGCTCAGTCCTTTTACATCATGCAGATGATAAAATTAAATGATACGTTTTATGTATGTTTTATTGTTCCTTAAAACAGCAATAACAAAAACAATCAAAAATACACAAAATTAGAGTTTTATGATTCGATATGTATGCAGATGGTTTTTTTTCAAATTATTGTAGAAAGAAATGTTAGTTCTTTCATATGTCATGTATTTGTAAATTGAAAATAATAAATAAATTTAGTTAAGACTCTAGACAATTGTTTTTTTTTTATTCAGGATTTCGCCTTAGTTAAGCTAATTCTCCATTATAGACAGCTTTTTAATGACATTTCCAGTTGCTCCTCTCACTGTAATTATCTCATATTTTGAGGCAATCATGAGTCTTTGATTCGAATTATTGGTTGAGGCAACATAGGGTGCACAATTTTGCTTTTGTTTGTAATAATGAAGAACTTTTGCATAAACAAATATGTCATGCATTATAATAGAGTTTGTAAGAACTGTAACTGGTGATATATGGATGAAAACTGCAAATATATACTGTTTACTGTGGTGAATATGCAGACCAATTGACATATATTTGGTGCAACAAACACGGATATTACACAGATTTGATTATAGTATATGGAGTCAAAATGAGTTTAAATTTGAAGTAAATCAAGTTATATCACACATTAAATCTTTAAACTTGGAGTTGAATCTGATTTCAATTTGCATTAAATGAAAGTTTATTGTTGTATTAAATTTTGCAACTCGAGGTTAAATCAGATTTAAAACCACAGTAAACAGCTTTCTGTTTGGAATATCTTTGACTTTAATTTTTAGTAAATCATGTTATACAGGTTTGCTCTACATTAAATTTGAAGTTGTATGTCTATTAAACTTTGTTAAATTTGAAAATTACTGGACAGTAAATCAGGTGTCAATTCATGAACTTACTGCATCCAGTAAACTATTTGTAAACTACTATTAAACATTGCGTTTACTTGACCTATAAACTACCAGAAAAAAAATAAACTCGGAAATTAAGACTGATTTTCAAGTAGTTTATTGTTTCCTTAAACTAATACTTTCATGCAGTGTATTTTAGCCATGCCATGGCGTTGTCAGTTTATTTTCGGTCTATGAGTTTGACTGTCCCTTTGATTTCTTTCGCCCTTCCTTTAAATCTCTCTGACTTTTTGTTTCAATCCCATGTGCAATACTTGTAACCATATAAATAAAGTTAAAGCTTCCAACTGTTTCTAAGATTGATTGATTGTTGGTTGCTTAACGTCCAGTGGCAAATATTTCATGCATATTCAGGACAAGAACAAGTTCACAATAAATACAATAGGTAGGTTCTGTAATAGATTAAGGGATTAAGGTCGGAGAAATTTAGACTGCCATCGAAAATGAGGATATATTGGATAGGGACAGAAATTTAGCCTTGCAACAGGCCACCTACGGACCCCTCAGAGTTGTTGCAAGGGTTCTTAACGCGCAAAGAGCGTGGCACTCTCTTTACACGAGGCATCGGATTTAACGTCCCAATTCTGACCGGACGTGGCTGCAAATTTGTATCCCGCACAGCCAAACGGACGCCCCACTTTAGCATGGGTTTTACTGCCGGTCGGAAGAAGACCAATGGTGACCATACTTCTATTCCCCAGTCACCCTGGGGGAGGGGGGTCTAAACAACAATACGTCTGACAGTGAACCTTAACAATATAACGTCTGACAGTGAACCTAAACAACATTACGTCAGACAGTGAACCTAAACAACATTACGTCTGACAGTGAACCTAAACAACATTACGTCTGACAGTGAACCAGAGTCAAAAACAAAAAGAAAAATAATTAAAAAAAAAAATAACACTAATAAATCTGAATAATTCTATATACAGTGGAGCAACAATTCTTTTATTTAATGTTTATTTAATGTAAAAAAAATTCCCAACTGACCTTCAGTGATTGTACACTTTGTCAACAACAAATCATTGTAAAAAGCCACCTACGGACCCATCAAGCAGTTGTTGCAAGGGTTCTTAACGTCGAAGAGAACTCTCGTTACACGAGGCATCGGATTAAACGTCCCCAATCTGACCGGACGTGGCTGCAAACTTGTACATGTCGCAGAGCCAAACGGACGCCCCATTTTGACAAGCGTTTTACTGACAGTAGAAAGAAGACCAAGTGACCATATTACTAAACCCCCGTCACCCTTGAGGGCTAAAGACAATTGAAGAACCCTCTGGGCTGCATGAACTCGGAAGAAAAGACGCTTCTTTTAAACAAGGACATTTTTGTTGCATGGAAAGGAGGCAATGACAATATAATACCTGCTGATGTTTACTGATTTATTTTCCACAAAATAAAGAAAGATATTTGTTTGTATAACGAAATCCTGTTGTTATGTAACAACACATAAGTACTTTAAAAACAATAATCATTCAGGAGAAAAAATACTTAACAGATTATGGTGTATTTTAAAGTCTGAAAAAATGTAAAAAGTAATTTTAAATCGTTCGTTATTAAAAAAATGAAAGAGAAACACTACCCAAGGACGACTAAGTCCAGGCCTATGGAAATCTAGTTTCTGAACTAGGAGTTCATGTTAGTACTGGTAAGCCTATGTAAAATACTAGACAGAGAACTGGTTGGTGCCTCTTCCAAGTGACCATGTCGCATTTTAAAGCAAACAATTGGATGCCGAAAAATGCATATGAAATAATGAGGTTGCTGGCACACTAATATTGTGTTTTGTCAGAACAAGAAGCATCCGAGCAATTCTATGCTCTGTTTGTCTATACTTATTAATATCTTTTGATGTTTTAATCCCTGTCTTCTGCATACTACTGCTTAAAATGTCAATATAATGAGATATGGTATGATTGCGAATAAGACAACTATCAATTAAAGTTTAAATGAAGTGAATTACCATCCCGATTAAATTGTCAAGATTTAAAGTATTTTTTTAAATATTTTGATGTAAGTAACCATGATCCACTCCATGAAAAGTTTTTGTTGACCTCATGTTGTAATTTGGGAGAAGAGGTCTTAAAAACATTCCCGAACTTAATATTACAGATTTCGCAGCAACAACAGACGCTGATAGAAGAGTGTAATATATATATATATATATATAGGTCATCAGATGAATTGACAAAAAATCATCAGAGTGTATGATAGTGGTGGTTGGTATATAGTATTTATTTTATTTATTCTACATTGAAAATTAAAAACGCAAATGGGTAGATTTCATGTGACAGATATCAAACAATAATCCATTATTGTATAGAAGAGCAGTAGTACACAATATAGTAAAATGCACTCGTTGTGACACGCAGTGGAACATCAAATATAATTAATTATATTAGGCTTAAACATCCGGCTGAGAGCCCTGCAAATTCTCCACTGAAACATTCTTCACTTCACAGTTTCGTAATTTAAAAAAAAAACAACAACATTACAATTATTATAGCGATAGCTGAAATAGTCGTTAAGGATTACTTGCCGTACAGAGCAGAAGCAATTGACCCTGAAGACGTGACATTTTGTACAAGAAACAGAATGTTAGAGCGGGTATGTCAATAATGATCGTAGAATTTGTCTTGTTTTAGTTTGGTTGTACGACCAGGGAAGACATCAAGGACAACCAATATGCTCCAGAATTAACAAGTGAAGTAAACGCACATCAGGTTAGGGAAGATATTAATAGCTTCTCTACCAGTGTACTCCAAAAATACCAAGGGTAGTAAAAACGCCGAAATTACTACATGTGGTATGATCTTCATTGTATATGAATTCTATAATTTTAAAATTATCAAAAAAGAAGTGGCCGGTATGGTTACATCTTTTACACTTATCTATAAAAAGTTGCCGATTTAGGATTTCAATACAATTACATGTATTTAGAAAAAAAAATTGATGATTTAAGGTTACAACTTATACAATTTTCTAGAAAAATGACCGATTTAAAGTTACATCTGATACAATTATGAAAAAAAGTGGTAAAATTTACTGTATTATGTAGTAAAATAATCAAGAAAGTAGTGGGCGGTTTAAGGTTTCATCTGATGCAATTATCTATAAAATGTGGTCGATTTAAGGTTAAATCTAATATAATTATCTATAAAAAGTGGTCGATTTAAGGTTACATCCCAAACAATTATCTATAAAAAGTAGTCGTGGATTTAAAGTTATTTTTAATACAACTATTTATAAAAAGTAGTCGATTAAAAGTTATTTTTAAAACAATTATTTATAAAGAAAAACAGTGGTCGATTTAAGGTTACATCTAATACAAAGTTTTTCTTCTGTAAATATTTCCTCTTACCGTGGAAAAACGCAATGGAAATTTGTTAAAAGTTGAAGCATCTCGGACAAAAAGAGAGAGGAAAGGTAGTAATTGTATTTAGTGCATTGGGATGACTATCCTGCATCTCAAGCAACCTGGGAGCCATAAAAGGAACATTCCATTTTCCATTATAAATTACTATAATGAAAAACTGTTAATATGTATATTGATGTTTCATTAAATCAGTTTTATAAGCTCACATGGCCCTTTTAGATGCAAACACCTAACGTCGAAAACTATATCATAGTTATTAAACAAGCAAATTGGTATATGTCATTTAATCTCCACGGATCGGTTGATTAGACCATATACGGAGTATTTAGATGACGTAAATAAAGATCCGCAAGTCCGTCAGTCAATGATGCACCCTGCGAATCAAAAAGATACCAATACATTTATATCAATTGAATATACAACGAAGTCAAAGTCTGTGTCGGACACACTAAATTAGATCTAGCCCTTCAGAGATGTCAAATTTCCAGCCTTTATATTTTGATGAAACTACTCTTGGTTGTGAGAAAACAGTTCAGGTCGATTCAAATTTCTAAATGGTCTAGCATTATCTGTAAATGTTCATATTTTAAGCATGGTAGTGGTGCAGGTTCAGGATCCTTTACACTTTTTTGGAAAGCTGCAGAAAATATATCTACCAAAGAATTGTTTTAATAGTTCATCATCTCCGTCCAAAGTTACCAGAATATACCACAAGAAAAATGCCTTTTTTATACAATGTATGGAAATGTATCATGTTTGCATATTCCCCCACATGTTCTAAGGTCAATACATGCATTAAACATTCATAAACCATCACAAAAACTTTTTTGATCGACAGTTTGAAGAAATGTCTCGAGGACTTCTGACTCGAGAAGAAAGTCATTTCCTGGTTGAATAATGCAAATTTGAAATTTTATGTGTCCAAGATTTAAAATTCTCATAGATGGACGTGTTCGCATAGAAATGACATGAATTGTGAGTAGATTAAACAATTTGCACATGTTTAGTTTAGATTGAGGCTTTATTTTCGGCATTGTTCCACATGCACAATATTTTCAATATACCCAGAGCTGTTCTAATCCATTACCCAAAAGAAGAATTTAAAAGTTCACTTCAAGCAGCACATATTTTTTTCTTTGTTTTATCTTTTTTTCTGAAGACATCGAACGCGTCTGACATACAAGTTGTCTTGGTACCTGCTAAACATAGACGGTGGGAGATTTTTTTTAATCTTAAAATAGAACAGTTTGTATTTAGATATTTGACTAAGAGTTTTATTGTCTAAAATGTAAGTTTCACATATAATTGATGCCGTTCGGGATATGGTCGGGGAAAATTTTAACTGCCTGCTAGAGATCGCATGTGGGATGAGGTTTCCATCTTCTCCAAGCAAATGGCATGCATGTCCGTTTTCTTTGTGGTCATTGTGATTTTTTGTTGATGATCCACCAAAAACTTAGAATAAATCTGCAAGCAAGATATTTCAATCTGAAGGTTTTCCATAAAATACACGAGTGAGAATAGACCTTACCACTAATCGTAACACTGATAATTAGGAGAGCTGCTGAAACTGATATTGATGTTTTTCGTGTCAAACAAAAAAAACAGAAGGCAACTCATGGTATTGACACCTACTGCCCAATTCATCAAACAAGGAAAAAGGTGTAGCAGTGGAACATGTTCTATTAACACATATTTTTGTTTTGACTACGTTCAATACCACAATCACATATCCAGAGCAATGCCTCTTACTAATAAAATAATAATGGATGGCCTACTATATTATGCAAGATTGATATTAACATAGCTTGTGCATAAGTGGCATTAATATTAATGCGGCTGTAACTCAATAGCTGTCTAGTTAATGTGTTTGTGAATTTTATTTTTCATCCACATGTAAAAGAGTTAACCCTGAAGTCTTATCTAGTGAGAAGTAATAAGTTGTAACTTTATATCAATAAGACTCATCTAGCAGAAAGTAGTTTTTACAATGTTATAGACATACATTTCCCAGGGTGACAACCTGTTTACCCGGCTTCTGGGGGAGGCAGATATATTTGTGGATATTTATATCTCCCGAAAACGTCATAGCAGATTTAATACCCCCTTGTAGAGTGCTTATTACAGAACAATTATCACCATGACAATCCATGCACCTGGCTCCGTTATCTCTATTGCTTCTGATTGCTGTTTAAGCTTTTGAAGTTGCCATTTGATTTGGGACTTTCCTTTTTGAATTTTCCTCGGAGTTCAGTATTTTTGTGATTTGACTTTTTTCTATTTTAATTAACCACTGAGTTGATGATTTCAACTTTCCCGACACGAGTGTTCTACAGAACTATAGTTTTTTTTAAATAAGAATCATGCACATTCATACATACTGATTAAAGATTTGAAGATGCACGGGACCGACTTTTGGAATTTATATTGGAACTGGCTAACGCTTAACACCTTTCATTACTAATGACATAATCGCATAAAAACTTCGAAGTTTGGAGACCCGAGTCTTATGAGGTTTTTAGTGTCAGTGATGAAGAAAAGAATAGCTACGTGCTTGGTCTAAGAGAAATGCAGTGCAAAGGTTCAGAAACTGTTTGAGGTACTCTTAAAGAGATACTACATGACATTAATGATATATGCGCAGTAAAAGATAGAGATGACTGTAGCATAGGGTTTAAACTCAAATAAAAACACAATGTCAGACAGGGCCAGCACAGAGAAAAAGTTGAAACGCTTTTTGAAAAAATACAGAGCTCAAATTTCAACAGATTGTGGATAACTATATGATGTTCAGTCTGTGGCTCATTTTGTTTATACTAAACTAACTTGGGTCAACCAGCTATGTAATCTATGAAACTTAAAACAGTCTCAAAACAGCATCTGAATTTTTTTTCGGAATAAATTAAGATACAGTCTAGGGTGGTTTTTTTTTAAAATTTACTTGAACGGTGTTCACAGTTAAAACGAATTAAAAAATGATTGTTACGACAAAAGACAAATTTCAATAAAAGGATTGGTCTTATAACCTAAGAAAATAAGGAGTGGTATGAGAAATTTTCATTACATTTATAACTCAGGTATTACTACCAGAAAAATATATGTGGGTCTTCTAACGAAGATTTAGAAAATTCTGATAAAAGATGTAGCCAACAATACAAGAGTCGCCAGTACCTTTGAGGAAAAGAGTTGTGTGTCCAATCTATGCAAGATATATGATGATGATCAGTCTGACATTCAAGAAAAGTTTGGACAGATTACAAATCTGGCTTAGAGAATTTAGGATCACCCTATTCGTCTTACCAGAGGTTCTATGGAATGTGGATTGAAGAGTTTCCTCATGTTAAGATTCTAAAGGTTTGTATGGAACAATATTCAGAACATTCCGAACAAAGGAGTCGGTTTATGAACATCATGAAGGGTCAATACTGACTCTAAAATTCAATGCAGTTAATTTTTAGGTATAACAGTAAATATTAGATAACAAACTATGCAGATGTGTAAATCATATCTGAAAAATAGGAAATCATCACAGTCTGACACATGCCAATGCACATAAAACATATGCTATCAACTGTATTTTACAGAGCTGTTTAATATGTACAAAATATATGTTTGGGTATAGTCATGACAAACATCAATTTGTTTTCAAAAAATTATGTGTAAAATGATCAAATATGTCAATGTCAACATGTTTATGAAGTGCAAAATCGTTACTGCACTCATGTTTAAATTATGGTCACGTTGTATGATGACACAACTATCCAATATTGACATGGATTTAAGCAACTAAGGGTAAAACTAAACTATATTTCAATCTTTTATTTATAAAAAAAAAAGAAATTTAAGTTGCAAGTCTGGAATAATTTCTTTTTTTAAAACTTTATTGACCGACAGTGACTTTTTTTTATAATATCTCCTGCTTTATGTCACATAATTAATTCTTCCAACAATGTCCATTCATGCATACATTAATGATTGTTCATAGAAGTACATAGATGTAATGTTTTTGTATAAAGTATCAGAAGCTCAGCAAATGTAGCGAGTGTGTAATCTTTGAACAGATCATCAGCAAATAATCGAGTTGGGGAAGTTGAAGGACAAGAGAAGAGCACATTAGCTTCTTCAATAGTAAGAATTGTATCCACTCGTGAAGATGGTGTTTTTTTTGTTGTATTTTTCATGATTAATGCAAATACATCTACATTATTAACTCAACTGACCCAAAGGGCCTGGTGAACTTTTCCTTTAGAAAAAATCTTCTCTGCAAGAACTGAGCCAAATTTTACCAAACTCAGCAACAATCATCATAATATACTAAAAAGGTGGCCAATGACCATAGCTATAGGAAGATGTGGTATGATTGCCAATGAGACAACTCTCCATTCAAGTAACAATTTATAAAAGTTAACCATTATAGGTCAAGGTACGGCCTTCAACACGGAGCATTTGGCTCACACCAAACAGCAAGCTATAAAGGGCCCAAAAAAATTACAAGTGTAAAACCACTCAAACGGAAAAACCAAAGGTCTAATCTATATAAAAACGAGAAACGAGAAACACGTATGAACTACATAAACAGACGACAACTACTGTAATTAGATTCCTGACTTAGGACAGGTGCAAACATTTGCAGCGGGATCAAAGGTTTTAATGGTACCAAACCTTCTCCTTTTTCTGAAACAATAGTAAAACATCACAACATAGAAAAACACACTATAAAATATCAATTGGAAAGCTTAACTCAATCAAAAAACGTAAATTAACACACAATGAACGAATAAATTTGACCTGTGACACCTGAATGCAAATACACAGTTAATAAAAAATTACAAGGGATAAATAATTAAAGTCAAAAATAAATAAACAGGTTTAAACAAAGTTAAAGTATGATATGACTGTGAAATGTCAAACAATTTTTAGAAAATCATCACTTTTGAAGAAACCTGCGTCATATTATACACAGGTAAATGAAAATAATTTTGTTGTTAAGTATACTTCTTCTGTGTGTATAAAATCTTCCGTTTAGGAATACCAAGAAATTTCTTTAATATCAATAAAACCAAAATTTGCCGACATGGCTTTAAATAGAACAGGGGGTGGGGGGTAAATGCATTTGTTTTTATTATCTTGAAAGTTGCTTTAATTGGAAAAAAAAATGTTAAGGATGTTGTGATCTACCGTTTATTTATATGAAAAAAGATGTGGTATGATTGCCAATGACACAACTATCCACAATAGACCAAATGACACAAAAATTAACTATAGGTCACCGTACGGCCTTCAACAATGAACAAAGCCCATACCGCATAGTCAGCTATAAATGGCCCCGAAATGAAAGTTTGCCCATTTACAACTTGGTTATTGCTCTTGGGGGTATTCACCAATTTTTACTGTTTTTTATATAAAAAAAAGAAGATCTGGTATTGATTGCCAATGAGACAACTCTCCACCAAATAACACAGACATTAACAACTATATTACACTTACGGCATTTAAAAATGAGCAGATATTATACCACATAGTCAGCTATAAAAAGGCTCCAAGATGACAAATGTAAAACAATTCAAACGAGAAAACTAATGGCCTAATTTATAACAAAATAATGAACGAGATATTCGAAACCATTGAATATAAAATAAACGTCATGGCTATAAAAGAAAAAGACAAACAAAAGTACATAGTAGTGTCTTATAAATGAGCAAGCAAGGAAAGACACTATCATCAACAAGAAGGCAACCAAAAGACCAAAAGAACTTGTCTGTCACCACAGGTACAAGACAATTTACCTACAGCTGTGTCAGCAAAGAAAACCAGGAACATCAAATAGTTAACCAGAAAGAAAAAAAAATCGGAAACCGATGCACCTGCAAACAAGATCGCAATAAGTGCTAAAAAAAT